GCCAGCTACGGAGTGAGAAAATGCATTCTGGAATTTTTGGCGCAAGAGATAAATGTGGTCGCGACGGGTATCTATAATATCGATCGCTGCGATCTGTACGATCGTTAAAGTCGGATTATTAAGATTGAGGATAGGAAATCTGTCACATCGATGGCATAGAATAGAACAAGTAAGTGAGGTTAGAATAAATATCGACCGCTGCGATCTGTACGATCGTTAAAGTCAGATAAAGAGTCTCGGCAATAACAAAGGATTGAGGTTAGGATATTTGTCACATCGAAGGCATAGAATAGACGAACACGTAAGTGAGGTTAGATATTTTCTGCTTTACTGCTTTATTACACAGATTCTCTGCTGTAATTCCGCTGCAAGAATACAAATTATTTTCTATGTAATTATTTTCTTTTTACAGCATTTGGTTAGGTTACTTATTTACCGAGACACTGCCGTGTCTCCAGATCTGTTATTTATTTGTTTGGTAGATACCTTAATTTGTCTTCTCTATTCCTTATATAATTATAAAAGAATTCATTCATTTTGTACTTTGTTGATAGGAAAAGTCTGAAAAGAAAAAAAAAGTACGGATTATAAAGATACCTCCCCTTTCTTTTCAGGACTTTCCCTTCAATAAATCTGAAGATAAAATACAGCATAAAGAATCAATTCTTTTATAATAATAAAGATAAAACTTATTTATGCAGTTACTCAAAACATAAAATTACTTGGTTTTAATATTGAAATCTTTAAAACTTTAAATAATTATCTAATAATTGAAATATATTATCATGGATAATAACTGATATATTATTGAAGGTGTCAGTTCAAAGAGAACATTTATAAAATGTGTATCCTTTTGTTGCATATATACGTAATAATGATTTAACAACACATGTACACTAGTTGTTTATAATAGTAATGTTAAATCATTATTACGTATATATGCAATAAAAGAATATATACTTTATGTATGTTTACTTTGAACTAGCACCTTCAATAATATATGAGTCATTTTTCATGGTAATATGTACCTACCATTTCATTATCTTTCAATAATAAAATGTATTACGTTAAAATAGACAATTTGGTATAAGAATTCTTTTAAAATTAATATTGATCTTTTGTGATTTATTTTCAAAAAACTGTTATATATACATATGTATGTATATACACTATACAGTTTAATCTCTCACCTAAGAACACTATATTTGATTCAAGATTTTGGAGTGTAAGTTATAAGTAGTTTTCAATCACTTATATATTCATATAAGTATATACATTTACAAATTATTATTCTAATTAATAATTATTATCGTGAAGAAGGATTGTTCTGATAATCAATTTCGTAATAACATTATACCAAAAAAATCTATTACCTACATATAATCAAATACGCCAATAAACGTAATTTTTGAAAAAAATGATTGAAATTATTTAAATTATTTATATATTTTGCAGGTACACAATTTAGAAGTAATTGATCAAAATGGTATTTAATTGGGAGGAGGAAATACCATAAAACGATAATAATATAAAGATATTAGAGAGATCCGAGTACATTGAAAGTTCTTGATGCCAGTGCTATAATCTTGGATGTGACTAATACAAAGCTCGTCGACAGTAATGTTGCCCTAAATAAAAGTACATTAAATTCTGAAGGTAATATAACGCAACCGACAATTTTGACGTTAGAAAACAAACTGATATATTATTGGAGGTGCCAGTTCAAAGTGAACATTCATAAAATGTATATCCTTTTGTTGCATATATACGTAATAATGATCTAACAACACATGCACACTAGATGTTTATAATAGTAATGTTAAATCATTATTATTAGGTATATATGCTGCAAAAGAATATACACTTTATGTATGTTTACTTTGAAATGGCACCTTCAATAATATATGAGTCATTTTTCATGGTAATATGTATAATAGTATTTTTTATATATATATTCATTTCCATTTCATTATCTTTCAATAATAATACAAAAAACTATTATAGTTTGATATCTCTCACCTAGAACACTATATTTGATTTGAGATTTTGGAGTGTAAGTTAACCAGTTTTCAATCACGTATATCTTCATAAGTATACGTTTACAAATTATTATTTTAATAATTAATATCGTGATAAAGATTGTTCTGATTATACAAAAAAAATTTATTACGTTTATTAGCATATTTGATTATACGTATGTAATATTTTGACATTGAAATAAATACACTAATAAACGTAATAAGTGTTTTGGTATGATGTTATTACGAAATTGATTAACAGAACAATCGTTCCTCACAATATTAATTATGAATTAGAATAATATTTTGAAAATGTATACTTTATGAAGATACACGTGATTGAAAACTGTAACTCACACACATGTGCTTCAAAATCTTGAATCAAATATAGTGTTCTAGGTGAGAGATCAAAATAACAGCTTTTTATATTTCAAAAATGAATTACAAA